CGCTCGCTGCCCGCGGCCGGCTGCATGGCGCGGGGCGGCGGATCCCGGCGGCGAGACGAGCGCGGCGGTGACTCGAGTCAGAAGTGCGAGGCGCCGCGGCTCCGAGCGAGCGGAGGGACGGACCGACCACGCGGAGAAAGAGGGGGAGGGCGGGCGCCGCGGAGTGGAGGTGCGCCGGCTGCAGGGGGCGGGGGGTGTCGAGGAGGCGCGCGGCTCGAGCGGCCGGTGGCGGAGGCTGGGGCCGTGTTGTCGCCGCCGCGCTCCGCCCCTGGGGGCAGGTGCGTGCGGCAGGGACCCGCCCCGAGGCCCCAGCGCCGGAGCCCGAGCACCGAGGCCGGTGGGGAGGGAGCGATCCGGCCGGGGCCGATGCCCAGAGGCTCGGGATAGGGGGACTACTGGGGGCGCGGGGACCAGCAGGCGTCTCGGGCAGGGCCTGGTGAGGGAGTAACGGAAGACCTGGGCTGGTGCCCAGAGGGGATCCCCTCGGACCCGATTCCTCTGCCGTCCGAGAAGCCAGCGGCCGCGCTCGGGCAGGAGAGCGGGCAGCGCCGGAATTTGGCATTTTTCTCCTCTGGAGCAGCACAAGCTTCAGAGGCTGTGCAGGGTCTCCGCCTGGGCTGCCATCCTCGCCACCCATGCCGGGAAAACGATGTTCACCTGTCCCCAAGCCCGTCCGTCTCCGACCTTCTTCTAGGAGCTTTGATTGCCCTCTCAATTTTTCCCTCCTCACCAACTTAAGGGGACTGGGTATCCTTGAGACCACAGGGCGCTCTGGAACATGTTTGAACCCCAAGGCTGCCCCATTGCCACTATCCCTGGGCCTTTGTCCCATCAGCTCGCTATTTCCTCTCTGAGTATCCAAATCTTGCCGTTCTTCAGGACTGGAATCGAACCCTCCCTCCTACGAGAAGCCTCCCCTGGCTGTCCCGGCGCGGCCGCCTGTCCCCACCTCTGGCCGCGCAGAACTGGTACCCTTGCGCGGTCCGGCAAGTCTCCGCGGCGAGGCCGCGACCTCGTCCACGCCGGGGCCGCGCCGGCTCCCTTGTAGTTCTGAGAGGCCCAGAGGGGGACCAGTCATTTATCATATTCAGCTTGAATTTAATGATATCAACATCCAAACTCTAGAATCTAGATTTCATCTTTAGATGGTTATCAGTCTTTACATTTAATGAGTCCTCTAAAATGCCAATTCCTCATTTGAAGGCTGCCTACCTTGTGTGTGGGGGGGGGTACCCTGTTTTTTGAAGAGTAACCAGTTTCCTTTCTCATTCTTGCTTTGCCTGCGATAAAAATCGGAGTGAGATTTAAATGCCTTTGTGGTGCAGTGGAAACATCACTAGAAATGGAAAGAGGGTATCATTTCATTTTGTTGTTGGGTTGGAATGAGAATATCTGAGTTGACCTTGGCCAACTCACTTTACCTTTTTGACCACTAATTTAACTAGGAAATGAAAGAGTTGAACTAGGTCATTTCAAAGGCCTCTTCTTGCTAGGGAAGGAGGGAGGGAGAAAAGAGGGAAAAAATGAAAGAAAGAAAAATGCTATTATCATTTGGATAAAAAACAATGAAAACTTCTACCCATCAATCTCGGTTCTGTCCTGTGAAGTAGACAAGCGTTCATATATTTGCAGACACCCCGGCTCCATCTCATTGCTCTCTTCTGCCTAGACTTTTTCCCTCCAGGTTACCTCATTTAATCCCTCTGTCAATGGCTCGCAAACATTAGAATCACCTAGGGAGTTTAAGAACAAAAATGTTCAGGACTCACCCATGGCCAGAGATTCTAATATTATAGGTGATGAAATCGGTCTGTTCTGGGACCTTGGTGTGGGTATTTTTTTAAGCTCCCTGCCCATTCTAAGAATTATCTGGGAAGGTTTTATTTATTCATTTATTTAAATACTGACTCCTCATTGCTCTTTGAGATTCTGATTCAGTAGATCTGGGATCTAGCAGGAAATCTTCATTTGAATACCGCACACCCACACAGACCCCTACAGATTCTGATGTAGATTGTTCTAGGACCACCTTTGTGATTCTCATTACTAAACTATCCTCCACAATATAGTTCTGCCCATCCCCACCTCTCACACACACACCAAGGTTTGTGTTCTCTCAAAGGAGCAAATATTATATTTTCCTCTGGTTCCTCAGGTGATTCTCTAGTCCAGCGCATCTCAACTGCAAACATGCAGATGAACACCCGGGATCCTTGTTAAAACGCAGATTCTAACTCATTAGGTCTGGGGTAGAGGCTGTGATTTCCAACAAACCTCCAGGAGCTGCTGATGCTGCTGATCCGAAGACCACACTCGGAGAAGTAAGGATCTAGGAGTTATTTATTATTCATGGCGTAGATATATTTTCCTTCAAGTTCCAGCTGCCTTGGTTCAATAAGCCATTCTTGTCTCCTCCAGAAAGATTTTTCTGACTCCAGCCTCCCCTGGGCGCTCCCTTCGGTGAACTGTGTTTAATAATTCACTGCTCATTTCATGTGTGAGGCAGGGAGTGTGGTGCTTGCCGGATCCCCATTTTCACTCACCCACATCTACCTGGATGCCAAGGACACGATGGTCCCCCAAACAATCTCTGCTGATTGACTGGGAGATAATATTAGCTTACATTCTCCGAGGACATAACGTGTGCCAGGCACCTTGCTCAGTGTCTTACATGCATTGTCTTCATCATTCAATTACTGCTATCATTTTACAAAGAAATCAAGGTCAGTCTCCCGTTCAGCTCTGTCCAGCACCACAGCCCACAGCGGTACCGCCCCCTAGGGGGCGTTTTGGAAATTTGCAGGTGCTTTAATGGTTATCACAACGATGGGAGGAGGGGGCCGCTGGCATTAGCGGCGGGTGGCAAGGGAGGAAGGAAGTCCTGCCATGCGCAGGACTTGGCAGCACACTGAAGATTGTGTCCCACATGGCTTTCATATATCAGACTGGACGTTTGGGGCAGTTAAAATGTGCTTCTAATTACATTAGAACCCTAACTCTGTTTTAAGTATAAACACAAAAGATTTTTCCCCCACACTGAATTTTCTGTGACGCACCTACTGTGTAAGTCTAGGAAAGATTGTATTTTGTTCACCATTTTGGAAAATCAGGACACTGAAGCCGGTTCCACTCATGGCATCTGAGTCAGCAATTAACACATCTGCCCCTGTCGAATGTATAAGTGCCACAGGCCTGGTAATTTCACATGTGTATGTGGATATTTTTATCTCTTATTTTAAAATGTCAAAAATAAATAAAAAGTCTCAATAATATTCCCAAGCCTTGTCTTACTGCTCTTCAATTATAGCAGATGCAAATATCTGGCTACTTCTTTACAGCATCTGATGCAGTTCTGACTGAGCGTATACGAAAGCAAATACATATTAAGTGTTGATGGCTTTACTTTTACCCCTCCTTTATTATAATTGGGTCATTATATTGATGTTTATGTGTGTAGGTACTATCTATGAATTCCATGTCATAATCACAACGGTGAATAATACAAAATAATTGTTGTAAAAAGGGAGCCTTAACTGTCACAGCCAAGAGGAACCTAAGAAGACACAACAACTAAATGTAATTGGTATCCTGCATGGGATCCTGGAACAAAAAAAGGTAAAAATTAAGAATATCTGACTAAAGCACGGACTTTGCTTAGTAATAATGTATCAAGTATGGTTCATTAAATGGAGCAAATGTGCCATACTAACGTAAGATGTGAATAATAGGGAAAACTGGGTGCAGTGTATGTGAGAACTCGCTGTACCATCTTCTCAATTTTTCTGCAAATCTAAAACTGTCCTAAAAAATAAAGTCTACTTTTAAAAAAAGGTAAAATAAAGGGAGGTGGGGGGAGATGGGAAGGCTTGAGTGTGAGAGGTGGACATCCTAACCTTGACTTTTGAATGCCCATTGCAGAAGACAGACCATGGACAGACAAAGTACATGAGGTACCTGGAAACTTTAATATGGTCGCCGGGAGTGCCATGTTCATAACAATGCTGAGAAAGACAGGATAGGAGAAGAATTAAACTAATATTCGCAATTGTAAGCTTATTCCACTGACTTTTACTGGGACTTATTTTTAGTATATTTAAGGATTCAGGAAATTTTGTAAATTTTGTGAAATTTCAAATTCTCAAATCACTGGACCTCCACCAGGACATTTTAAAAAGGCACCTTTGGGTAAGAGCCGGTGGGCATACAACCTGACTATTGAACGGATACGAAGTTGAGTGGTGTCTTTTTTTGTTCTCATCTGTTCCTTTTTACGTTTTCAGTAATTGTCTCCAGATCCCTAATCCTAGGAATACACACAGGAAAGAGAAGACAGGCCAAGAAGCCAGAGGAAACAAAGCAGGCGGTAAGAGCCTCGGCAGGAATGAGAGTCACAGTTACTCCTGGTGGAGCTGCCAGCTCCATCATGGGTCAAGAGTTGTAAGGACACTGCACGTAACAGTTCACTTAGTCCTCACAACCCTAGAAAGCGGGTGTTATCAGTATCCCATCTTAAAGATAAGGAAACTGAAGCTCCGGTTCAATAGCATTGCTAATGAACCCAGGAGGTTGGCTCCCAGGCCTTGCCTTTTACCATTGTACTGCATGGCCGCTATGGTGGAATCTAGAAATGACCAAGAGCATGGCTTCTACACCTGATTTCCCCACATCACGTTTCAGATTAAAGTATACTAGTTTTACATTGTTATACTTGTGGGCTTTGGAAAACCAAATATAAACATGTTATTCATCTTTTGCAAGTCGTAAAGAAACATAGGTGACACTTAGAGCTAGTGTGCCCTCACAGGCGTGAACCCGGGACTGGGGCTGGGTAAAGAGCTGTCCCAGGATGGAGTGTCTCAACTGACTGCCAAAGTCAACCCAGAACAGCATTTATATAGGAAGGGCCCTAAGATCTTTTCTTGGAAAGCGGGAAGTGTGTGTATGTACGCAGGCCTGCAGGTGTGACTGTTAAATTATAAACTCCCTTTCCCATAAAGAAAATTATAAATGAGCACATGACTATGCAACATTTGGAGAAACACCATATTAGCAATCAGCATTATTAAGAGGCTTGGTGTGCCAAGTATCATAATATTAAGACATGCAAAAAGAATTGTTCAATGCCAGCTCTGCCTTGAAGGGACTTACACTCTAAACAGAATGGTATTGCCCCCCTTTGCCATGTGCTCTCTTGAGCAGTATGTCTCAGCTCGGTCTGCACATTACAGTCACCAGGGCTACAGTGACCAACTTATCCTGGTTTGCCAAGGACATTCCTGGTTTTAGCACTGAAGGTTCCAAGTCTCGGGAAATCCCCTCAGTCTTGGGAAAGTGGGGGCACTTGGTCACCCCATGGGGATGCTGTTAAAAATCCTGATGCCCAAACCAACCCTCTGACCAATTGCATCAGGCTGCACAGGTGATCGCAGACAGTGGGAAAGTTCTGCTGGCACGTGCCAGGCATCCCTGAAGAAGTCCTGTCTTCATCAGGCTGCCCAAGTCCACCTGGCCGAACTCCTCCTCTGGGCTCTTCAGACCACTGTTTCTGAGTGACAGCAAGCAGTCCTTCCCTTCAGGAGGGCACTGGGCTTCTGGTGCCAGCAGGTGAGGGCCCAGCACCACTCACAGTGTTTTCAG